TGAATACCAATGGTCTTTTAATCCCAACCCTTGGACCAAGACACGTGGCACCCATCCAAGGTCGAGTTCTAACATTCCATCAACGTGTGACACGTGGAGTGACAGCTATACATTTATGCATTTGCATCTTCACTCATAGTTTAGACTTGGGCCGTAATCTATGACCTTGACGCACGGGGGCCTGTGATCACCCCAGAATTATCTGGTCACGAACTCGACCACACTACCCCGAACTTGTCCCTCGTAAAAACCACTTGTTTGAGGTCGGGGAACTTAGGTCGGGCCTCTGTGACGTCATGACAGGTCCTTTTGACGATCTATGGGAACACAAATTCTACCCAACCTACAATTCTTACCTAGCTAGACTCACTTTTCGACTCAAACAGTGGATGAATACTGGGAATGAAACACTAACTCATTATCTTACATGGATAAGGATCACATATGGCAAAGTCATTCTAGGACTCTATCATTAACGCCTATAAATACATAACTCGGGCTCATTTTTTAGGTACGTTTTTCATTATCTCTAGTTTATAGTCTCACACACTAAATTTCCTATCTGACTTAAGCATCGGAGGGGCGACAAGCACACACACCTCGTTGCTTTTGTTTCAGGTATTCGAAGATCGTTCGTGTTCATCCAAGCTCGAAGTTTGATCATCAAATTCGAGATCTTTCAGGTACTATTTTTTGGTAGCATCAAAAATGATTTAATTTCTTCCGGTGGTATGAATTTTGTTGTTGTTTGGAAATTGAGTATGTTGCAGTCTTTCATTTTATTACCTATTATTTAGTGAATTTCTTCATATCATTGCCAATGGACGTAAAAGAGGATTGCATGATATTAACTCTTTCTGTTCTGTGCATGTGTTCTCTCTTTAATTAATGTTTTTGCGTAAAATCCGAACCTCAGGGCTTTCGTACATTACAAAACAAGTGAAAATTTTTTCGAGTTTCATAATAAAATCCTCTCCATCTATTGAAGAATAGTAGATGCAGGCCCTGCAGTTTTGCTGGAAAAATCCAATCTTGTGTTAATTAAAGATAAAAATATTCTTCAAAAATATAAATGAAGGATGTAACAGGAAAATGTAACACCACCAACTTTTTTACTATTTCTCATATGGGCTTAAATTTAATAAGGGTCACTTAGTAAATAAAATTATTCATGTTTAGATTTGTCGTCACACTAAAAATCTAAAAGTTGATGATTTATTTTGCTCATGTGTACTTAGATTAATTTATCGTAAATCTTATTTCGGTCAAATATTTACGTATTTTAGGAGTTGATAAAATATATCAATGTTATACTCGTTTTATCGTTCGTGTTAAATAATATAATTTGAAATCAAGAAAAAGTAATTTTGAGCTAGTATGCCCGAGTTATTCTAATAAAAAGAAATATGTTATCTTTTATTATTTTATTAATATAAAATATAAAATGAGTTTTCCCAGAAATATGAACTGTCATGGTTATATTGGTAGGAAACGAATAGGTTTATTATAATTGAATTTATTAAACCTAATTATCCTCGTTAATCTTAATAATGAATACATTTTATTAACACCATTAATTCACCCTTAACCTAACATGTGTTTTTTTTTATTTATGTTACGTGCATAACTAATTATAAGTGACTGTTATGGGTATATATATATTTAGGTGAGTTACTTGTAAGACAATTTCACAACTTCATTCATTTATAGATTCATACACCTAAACTCTACATTGTTGAAATGATTTTCTTCTACCATAGTTTCTATTGTACATACTTCCCACCACTAAAATTTTTAGAATTTGAGCTGAGTATCATATTTATATTTTTCACAAATTATTTTCAAATAAATTCTTGGATATCAAATTGAGGTAAGAATACATCGTGCAAGTGATAAAAATTCTTATTCTTTGATATTTGTATAATTTTGGCATAAAATGTTATGAAGCCTTCGGATCGAACTCTATGTCAAATCCTTCAGGATGAACCATTAGGTCAAAGATGTTAAATCTTACGAGATATGAGGATTCTTAAGAAATTCCTTGAACTCTAAATCTAAAAAATATTGGTATGTTAATTAAGTTTTATATTTTTATCATGTGAATGAGAATGTGTACGTATTCTTACTGAGTATTTTCAATATACTCACATTACAATGCCTTTCAGATGAGAACGGGTAGTTTGCATGTGTGGAAGATTGATCGAGTGATGCTTATAAGGTCGTCAAGTAAATTTTCTAGAAAAGATAATTGTCAAACTTTTAATTGAAAAACATCTTCATATTGAATTTTGTGCACATTTTTTAATAACTATTTTTATGCATTTCAACACTTAACGAAAATGATATTTTCGCATAAATTAGACAAAGAAGATGTTGGTAACACCTCGAGCCTATTTTTATAAAAGAATAAAATAATGAAGATGAAAAAGATCTTGAGGCATTATAGAAAAAGTCTAAAGCAAAGAGAAAACCAAAGTTTTTTTTTAATAATAAAAATCCACAATAGAAAGCGAAGTGACATCAAATCATAAATATAATTAAATGAGTCTCATTTTTCACCTTTAATTTAACTTATCATATAATATTAGCACCTGTGGTGCGATAGCATTATTCATTTCAGTTTCCTATCCAAATAATTTTAATGATCTCGACTAATTTCTTTAACTCGTGTTCGTTAAATTGTGAACGATTTCTTACTTTCCTACACCTTTGAGCTTTAAATCGTCATGTTGCTTATGGGGTATGCCGTAGCTTGAATTGAATCTCCTTTTCTAATATCGACATACTGGGGAATCGATAGATGTCAGCGAACAATTCAATTAACCAACACAAAATTTTACCACTAAAGACATCACCAAACCACAGGAAATTAGTCGCTAAAATATGCAATTTGAACAGTTCAATCAAATATATAGTAGTATCTGACCAATGATTCTGCAACGGATTTGTTTGTAACTTAAATCTAAATACCAGAAGAACAAACTAAGTTTTATTATCACTAAATATAGAGGATCAGAAGCATTGCTTTAACAACAAACAAGTGAGAAAGAGATTGAAGAAACATCGAAAGCCCCATCGTGTTTAAATAGCCGCTTTTCCTGGATGAGCCTGAGCCTGAGCCTGAGCCTGAGTCTGAGCGGGAGCCTGAATGCCTGAGGTGAGTTTAATAGCCTTCTTTTGGACCTTTTTACCAGAGTTGTTGATTTCCACAGTAGCCGAGACTGCCAGATTTCTCTTCTTGGACATGAAAAACCACTCTTTAAACTTAACCTTTGTAGCCAACTCCAACCTGAAAACTACTGTGGATCCATTAGAAACCGCGTTCACTGCGTCAAACCAAGGAACACCGTGAGTCTCAACCACATCTCTCCGCTGAGCACTTTTTTTTTTACCCTGATAGAACCCTCGAACTGTATAGTAGCCTATTGCAAGGCTTGGCTTTGGACCATAAAAGAATGTGAGATTTATAGTGTCATAGCGGACACTAATTTGATCCAAACGATTTTTGAGTTCGAGGTCGAAGAAGATAAAGTTGTTGATGGTACTGGCATTGGAATTATCCAATCTGTTGAGAGCAGGAACATAAAAGTTCTTTATTGAGCAACTGGGCCTCACTGTATTGGTGTTTACTACGATCAAAATGATCAAAAGGGTAATAATGAAGACGACTATCAGGCAGCACAATTTGTATAAGATAAAGATAGGGTGTGCCATAGCCCTCATTCTATCTAGCTGAGACATTATGAAATTGTGGCGTTTTGAAGAAAAAAGGAGGACTGAATCTATGAATATAAATCAAGAAGATGAGACTGTAAATTATATATAGAGTTAAATTCGTAGACTACATAGTCATTAACAATGAATTCTGCTTGGTACCTAAGATAGAAAATCAACCTTAAAGAAAGACTTCCAAGTCATCAACAACCACACGGAACGATTAATGTTTGACTGACAAACCGGGAAAATTATTATTTTTATACCATTTTCATGTGGGAATACCACTATTTTCTAAAGGTACGTTATTATACACAACACTCGAGAATTTAGAACAGTTCTAATATTCCACTGTACATATTTGTGTTTAGATTTCATACACCACATTATTTTTGATTTTATCATCTTTGGGCAACATCATGATACACATTCTATTTAGTCATTGTGATGTTTTGATAAAATCGGGTTTTTATTAAAAAATGATAAAAATGATAAAATGTGTAATTGAAAAGTTGATAAAAGATGTCGATCCCATGAAATGTGGAATGGAAAATAAATTTAGGGGGAAATGAGGTCCAAATAAGGACTTGAAAAAAATGAATGACTTATACTTGAATTGTTCAAATTGAGATACTTTACGAAATATAAAATCGGAAAACCACACATTTCCTAGTCTCAATGGTAGTGTTCATGGTTAGAGAAACTTGTGTGAAGTTAATTACGTCTTATCTTGAGACCCTATCGACGTGTTCAACATTATAAAACTCTTCCATTATACTCCATTTTTTGATTTGTTATTGTAATTATTTCTATCGTTTCATTAACTAGAAAATACTTTCCAAGCAAAAAAAAAAAAAACCCTAGATAGGGTCACTTCACCAAGAACAACATCAAGCTGAGAATGTGAACTAAAATATGAGTCAAATATTGGCCCTTGTTTGGCCCCCATTTTGTAGAAATAAAAATGGGTGGAATAATATATATATATTTTTTAAATGAGTGATTGGAAAAAAAAAATTTTGATTTACGTATAATATTATTTTATGAAAGATCCTGTGATTGAAAATAGGATAGAGAAAAATAAAATATAATGGAATAAAAATTAATGGGACCGGGTTTAATTTACATGTAAGTCTTCACCTAATTTACACGAAAGGCTTCGATATCAAGATTCAACGAGCTTGACTCATGAAAGTCTTTTTTTATGTTTTTGACTTGTTTTTCCATTGATGTACCTAAACATGTAAACCATTCATCTTGTCTATATATATCGAGTGCTTTATGGGAAGAAGGAAAATTAAGATAAAAAAAAATTCATCTGGTCATATACATTTTAGTGACTGCCATGGACGAAGGCGGAAAAATTGCGTGTCTTTTCTGTTGCATTTGCTTCATTTTGCCAACCATTCTGATCCCCATCGGTTTATCTCTTCAAAGCATCAAGCCAAGATGTTACATAAATGACTTTTATGCTCCTGCCCTCAACACACACATTCCTTCCAATGCTACCAGTTCCAACACTTTCATTTTCTTCGACCTTCAGCTTCGTAATATGATGGAAGAGAACAGCTTACGTTATGGAGATCTGAACCTCACCCTCTTCTACGGCCTGGATGGAAATATTCCTGTTGCTAATTATACAGTGCCTGGTTTCAAACAGGGTAAGAAGAATACAAATGATTGGAGAGACGTTGTGGAGACTCATGGACTGCCTTGGGATGATGCTATCAAAGTAGTTTCCAATGGTTCCAAAGTGGTTTTCAGGGCGGATTTGGTCGCAGATGTCAAGTTGAAACAAATGTTTTGGTCGAAGAAAAAGAAGATCGTTTTGAAAGCTACCGTCGAAGTCGATGGTTCTGGTGAGAAAGTCCATGGGAAACCCATCGGACTCAAGTCATTTGCATATTAGCTGTTATGAATTTAAGGCATTTAGTATGTGCCCATCAATAAATGAGTTACAAACGTTTGATGATATTTAATGATATTCCAGAAATTATTTAAATATCTTTCTCATGCATGAATAAATGCTTTACATTTGTTATTGGTCACAATTTATCTATTCTATTGACAAAATATTATTTATTAGTTACAATCAACCAAAATCCGACCCTCACGTCATCCCCACTTCACCACAGACACCAACCGAATACTGCCACACCTTACCGCCTCCTCCATTTGTGAACACCACTGCAATCACCAATATCACCACCGTCAGCATCACCACCTCACCATCACCATTACCATTACCATCACCACGAGCACCATTATCGTCAGCACCACCACCATCATTTGCAAAACACCACCAACAATCAAGAGAAATCACCCCAAAAGAAAACCACCTATAGTAGATCGGATTCAAAAATCACCAACAAAATTCAACAACCACCAACAAATCATCCACACCACTGCACGTATATTGGAATTAATAGGGACACAGATCGGTACTTGGCGATGGACAAAAGATTGACACTCCCTCCTACACCCCAAAATGGTTCTTCGAAGCGAGGTGCAAGCAGAGGTGCCTCTGTACGTGGCACCTCGCTGGTGTCTCAAAGCAAGGTGTCGATTTCTGAAATAGAGAGGATGAGGCGGGTGGATAGAGAGAGACAGTGATAAAGAAAGATAAAGGAAGGAAGAGAAAGAGAAGAGATTGTGATATGATTTAGGGTTTTGAGGGTGAAATTGGGTGGGAGTGGCGTGGTTACTTAAATTTTTTAAATTTCAGTCTACATTTTTGAAAGTGTCCCAATGCTTAAGTGACCGTTACTGAATGTTTTAAACTTCAGTGACTGTTTTGTAATTTTTCTGTAAGTTCAATGATCGTTTGTGAAATTAACTCGTTAAAGAATGGGAATGGGGTGCACTGGTATGGTGTGGTATGGGTTAGGGTGAAATTTTGTTAGTTGTGATGAATATATATATATATATATATTTGTTATCGAAAAACAATAAATGTTCTATTAATTTGATAATTTATCATCGATAAATATATCGTGACATATAAAATTTGTGATTTGTGTTAAAATGGCTGAGAGAAAATCACACCTATATCGATGAACAATTTTCTTAATGGAACTGGCAATAAAAAGCTGTAAAAATGCTTATCACTGCCAACACCAGCTGAAACCATAATTCAAATTGTAAAAATCAAAAAACAAATAAATAATAAAACTATGATTAGTCTCATATCAAGAAATTCAACCATTACTTCGAGATTGTGCTTTTGACCTTGTTCACAAAGTTAAGTGGTCGAAGAATAAAAGGAAGCAGAGATTTGACGAGTTTGTAATTCAACTATTACACCAAGATATCAGTACAAAACCAGAAAATAAACAAGAAATATATTACAAGAAAAAATGGCAGAAGAATAAATCCTCAGTCGTTCACTGAAACTCGAACCACACGTCATCCAGATGAAGGTCCTTTCATTTATGGGGCTCAGACTTAAGAAAATACAGGATTGTACCCGTCTGTATGACCCACACCGATCGCCCCAAACCCTAAGGTTTTCCTCTATCAGATTAAAGGAAACCACAAGGGTAAATTACACACCAATCCCTCCAATACACTTAGTATTTAGTATCACAAAGAAAAATCACTCAGATTTCAGATTCAATCAGAGATTGGATAGTCACGAAGAAGGAAGGGTTTGGAAAGATCTCGAAGCATAGCCGCAGCTGAAGAGAGGAGTAAAATGACGATCCAGCTGAATTAGGGCAAGAGGTGGAAATATATATATCCAACCAAGGCAGCCGTAGATCAGATTTTAATCCAACGGTCAGGGGGCTCTCAGTGATCTGAAGAAAAACGTGTTTATTGGCTGCGTTAAAAACGCCACGCCAAAAACACGTTTTATCTACCTTTGGGCTGGGGCGAATCAGGGTCAAGTTATTGGGCAAGAGCCTAGAGTATTAAAATAGTTATTTGGGCTTTAGCCCATTTGTCATCACAGCCCAGAAAGGTTATTGGTCATCACAGCCCAACAACCTCCACCTTGATGCCAATGGGATTTCTGAACACTTGCAGCCCTTCTATTGACACCAAGTTTGTACCTGCATTTAAAGAATTAACCTGTATCAATATTCAAAAGTGCCAAACATGATTTAAACTTAGAAAGAGGCAATACCTTTGTCCCCATGTCTGATGGATTGTACTGTGTAGGAATTTTTTCAAGAACATATTCATTTGAGACAATATCTCTAATAAAATGTAACTTTACATCTATGTGTTTAGTTCTTTCATGAAAAAAAGGATTCTTACACAAGTGTATTGCACTTTGGCTATCTGAATAAACAACTACAGGTTCATTTAACATCCTAATTTCAGATAATAGTCCCTTAAGCCACAAAGCTTCCTTCACAGCTTCTGTGGCAGCTACATACTCAGCCTCTGTGGTTGATAAAGTAACTATAGGCTGTAATTGGGACTTCCAACTCACACAGGTACCACAAAGAGTGAACATATAGGCAGAAGTGGACTTTCTATGGTCCCTATCACCAGCAAAATCAGCATCCACAAAGCCTTTAAGTGTTATTCCTTCATTACCTCTTTTATATACTAATCCTATGCTAGAAGTGCCTTTTAAGTACCTAAGTAACCACTTAAGTGCTTCCCAATGTTCGGGACCAGGATTAGCCATAAATCTACTTAAAGTGCTGATTGCATGAGCTACATCAGGTCTGGTACAGACCATGGTATACATTATAGACCCTACAGCATTAGCATATGGAACCTTTTCCATGTACTTTATATCAGATTCATCAATTGGGCATTGCTCTTTACTTAATTTGAAATGACTAGCTAAAGGCAAAGACACAGATTTTGATTCATGCATTGAAAACTTGGATAAAACTTTTTCTATGTAAGCTGATTGTTTCAAAATCAAAATGTATTGTGCTCTTTTTCTAAGTATATCCATTCCCAATATCCTTTTAGCATGCCCCAGATTTTTCATTTCAAATTCAGCACCAAAAGTATCTTTAATATTATTTATCTGTTTTAAATCAGGCCCAATCAGCAGCATGTCATCAACATAAACTAACAGAAAAATAGATATTGAAGAATCAGAATCTTTCTTAAAGTAAAGGCAATGATCATAAGAGCTTCTTACAAAACCAATAGTCATGACAAAAGTATCAAACCTTTTATACCATTGTCTAGGGGACTGTTTTAAACCATATAAGGATTTCTTAAGCAAGCACACAAAGTCAGATTTAGATTTATTAACAAAACCTTCAGGTTGTGACATATAAATTGTCTCATCTAAATTATCATGTAAGAAGGCTATTTTTACATCCATTTGTTCTAATTCCCAATTGTGATGTGCAACTAATGCTAGTAGGACTCTTATAGTTGTGAATTTTACAACGGGTGAAAATATCTCATTGTAATCTACACCCTGTTTTTGTGTAAACCCTTTAGCAACTAATCTTGCTTTAAATCTCACAGGCTCATTATCTGAACTGCCTTCTTTCACCTTGTAAATCCATTTACAGTCAACTATGGATTTATTTTTGGGTCTAGGCACAAGATCCCAAGTTTTATTCTTCATTAGAGAACTCATCTCTTCTCTCATGGCAACTTCCCACTTGCCAGACTGGTTACAACTCATGGCTTCACTATAGGTCTTAGGTTCCTTATAGGCTAGGTCATTATAAGACATGACAGAATAGGATAGATAATCTTCATATCTTGTAGGTTCTCTTATGTTCCTTCTAGGCCTTTCCCTAGTCAATTGATAGTCACTAAGATCACTTTGTTGACTGGGATCATACATTTCAGTTTGTTCATGTTCCTCCACACCTGAATTTTCTAATTCAGTTTGAGTCTGAGGTAGTGTAGGTTCATTTTCTCTCACATTATCAGGAACATAATCAGTTTGAGATCCCAACTCCACCTGAAACCTTGTCACACTTGGGTTTTCAGGGTCTGCAGACTTTTGTTTTTCTAAACAGGGCATCTCTTCCTCATTGAAGGTAGCATCTCTACTTGTTATCATTTTATACCCCCCTTGACCTCTAGCCCATAATCTATAGCCCTTAATTCCTTCAGGATAACCTAAGAACACACATTTCTGAGCCCTTGGCTCCAGTTTTCTCAAATTCTGGTGACAATAAGCTGTACACCCGAATATTCTAAGGTGGGAATAGTTTGGTATTTTCCAGACCACTTTTCTTCAGGTGTCTTACCTTCCAAAGTACTAGAAGGGGTTCTATTCACTATATATGTAGTTGTCATTACAGCCTCCCCCCACAACACCTTAGGAACTCCTGATCCCATCATCATACACCTAACCTTATCCAACAAGGTCTTATTCATTCTCTTAGCCACCCCATTCTGTTGAGGTGTGTATGGGACAGTTTTGTGTCTTAGGATTCCATTTGATTCACAAAGTTTATCAAATTCTGAGTTGCAAAATTGAAGTCCATTATCAGTTCTCAAAATTTTAATCTTTGTAGACATTTGATTTTCAATAAGGACTTTCTAGCTTTTAAACTTTTCAAAGGTTTCAGATTTGTGCTTTAGTAGAAACACCCACACCTTTCTTGAAAAGTCATCAATTATTGAGAGGAAATAGTTATTTTCCCTGGAGTAGTTGTGGAGGTTGGACCCAACAAATCTGAGTGGACATATTCCATTGGAGAAGTAGTTTTATGTTTTTCAGAATTAAAATGGAGTCTGTGATGTTTGCCAAAAGTGCAGCTTTCACAGAACGGTATTTGTGATAATTGGTCCTTACCAAATACCCCATTTTATGTAGGATTGTGAGGCCTTTTTCACCAACATGTGCAAGCCTCTTATGCCATTTTAAGGTGGAATCAGATTTAGTATTAGAGATAGTTGAATTATTTTCAAGTATTATTTCAGCTCTAACTACATAGATTCCATTTTTCTTGACACCCTTAAAGATGACAAGAGATCCCTTGATCACTTTCATCAATCCATCCCTAATCCTACCACACAGCCCTAGGTCATCTAATTCTCCCATAGAGATTAGATTTCTT